AACCTGTCCTCTTGCACATGGCTGATTTACAGAGAGAGAAACTATCTGCTAGATGGGCAGCATAATGTTTATCTTTTTAAGAAATATGAGCCATAATGTTTATCATTTTAAGAAATATGAGTGGTATGGAAGCATGGGTTTAAAATTCATCTTCAGAGTGACATTCCGTTGAACCAAATAGCAATTTAAAAGGTTATGACAGAATCAATTTTGGTAATTAATACTACGTTGAACCTTGGGGTTGAGATTTTTTTAAAAAAATAAATATATTAAAAACCATTAAATATTCACAATTCGTTGTTTTAGAAAAAAGCATTTATTTGTACTGACTTGAAACCAGAAAAAGGATAGGAAAGAAAATCATCAACCACTAACTACCACCTTTGTATTTAGCTTACAACCATCATAATCTGATTTCTAACCCAAACCCTTTACCCCCAATCGCATTTGACAAATCCATTGCCGTTGAGTCGATTCCAACTCATAGCGACCCTATAGGACAGGGTAGAACTGCCCCATATGGTTTTCAAGGAGTGCCTGGTGGATTCGAACTGCTGACCTTTTGGTTAGTAGCCATAGCTCTTAACCACTCGCCACCAGGATTTCGATTCAACAAATAGTACTATAAAAATCTCAGTAATGGTCAGCGTTACCATGTGAACATTTTAAACAAGTTCATCGTAGACTTGGTTCAAAAGAGCAGTTGAATGCCTTTTACACTCCCCTGGGAAACACCCTCTGTTAGAGGAATATACCTTAAATTGTAACTCGAATCCAGTTTGCCTTTCTGCACAGTTAAGTATAGGTGCTCTGTAGTAAAAAAACCATATAATCTAAAAAATGGGCACAACTCGTTTATTAGTCTTTGGTCATTTACCTCTGCGCGCCTTGTCTCCTTTCTCTTTGCTGCTCTTTTTCTCCCCTCAGTCCTCTTCCAAGTTTACCAAAATTCTCTTTATGGCATCTCGTTCCATCTACCAGTGACGTTTTCAAGCCCCTTGGTGGCAGTTCTGCTGTGTCCATAGGGTCGCTGTGAGTGGGAATTGACTTGACGGCAGCAGGCTTGGTTGGTTGGTTGGTTTGTTTTTTGGTGGCACTTAGGAGTGAACATGTTGCTAACTCCTTGTTTGTGGTTTGGGATCCCAGTAGTGTCAGTTCAAGATGGAGTCTGTCCTTCCTTAACCTCTCTGAGAAGCATGGGAAGCATCTGCTTCCAGGTGACAGTCGTTTCGCCCAGCATGTGTTTGCTGTTATTTCAGTAAGTTGAGGAATGAATCCTAGCTGGATTCTTTAATGCACTAAGGAAAGCAGTTAAGAGGCGAGTCTTATCTGCCATGTAATCGAGAATCACTGGAATAGCACAGAAGCCATTTATTTTTAATTTTTGTATAGTCACATACTCTGCTGATATGAATAGCTCTTCAGAGCATGGAACAGAACCTGCCTTTTTGACCTGAGGTGCTTTCATGGTTGAGTTCTTCCTGTTTTTTATTGACAATTACACGATATTTTTAATCTAGTTTTAGTTATTTATACATGCTTCCTGAGTCCTGTGTGCTTATTGGGTGTGTTTTTACAAAAAAAAAATGGAAACAAGATTAAAAATAATTCTTAGGTGACCACCATAATAGCCACAAACTCAGTTTCTTTGTATGGTTAGTTTTATATTTCTGCCTTTTTTTCCCTCTTATCTCCTTTCTGTTTTAAAAGTTTTTAGTTGACAATTTTAACAATATTAACACCTCTTTTACTGTGACATACTCATTTTATGTAAATGAATTCAGCAAAAGCATCATATAGTAAAACTGGTTAGAATTTCTAGTCTAGTCTCTGTTTGGGAGGAGCCCTGGTGGCGCAATGGTTAAGTGCTCACCTGCGAACCGAAAGGTCGACGGTTCCAACCCACCAGCTGCTCTGAGAGAGAAAGATATGCCAGTTTGCTTCCGTAAAGATTTGCAGCCTTGGAAACCCCATGGGGCAGTTCTGCTCTGTTCTGTAGGGTCGCTATGAGTCGAGATCGACTCGAGACAGTGGGTTTGAATTTTTTTTGTTAGTCTCTGGACATGAACATATATCACAATAAAAGTGTAACATGCTTCCCCACCAATTTAGCCATTGATTCATGTGCCTTTCCTCCTCTAGAAGACCCATGAGTCTTGTTTAATTTGGGGGAAGACTGAGGAACTAATAGGCTAAAGTAAAGTAAGGCTTTAAGAAACTTAGGAATAAGGTTACATGTGAGTGAGTCTGTGGCTCATAGAGGGGCATAAGAAATTGAGATTTTCATTGTTTTGTTTTCTGTACCCCATTTTCAAATCTGTATGACATTCGTATGGTGGGGTGGCCTGGGATATGGCAGGGCACCCAGCTCTAACTTCTGCCATCCACCCCATTAATAATAAATTTATAAATAGATGTGATTCACAAATTCAGCAGTGATGGTCAAGAATGCTTTGGAATTATTACTTAAGTGACACAGTCCTTTATGGAGGCCTCAGCACTGGGATTAGGACATTTTTCTTGTTGAGAGTTGTGTGAGGGCGACTAGACCCACAAGTGGGGCCCCTGTTCAGTAGTGTGGGAGCCCAGGACTGCAGGTGGTAGGGACCCCCCTCTGCAGGTTTGCTGTGTCCTGGCTAGGGTGTCCACGGGTGGAGGTTGTGTGGGAATGGTAGGAAGCATGCATTTTCTTACCTGGTAGCAGTAGAAGGGGGATCCTTTTTTCAAATTCCCAAGGATAAGGATCTACAGGTACAGCTTAATATCTTTCTAGCATTCTATCTGTCATGTGATCTGCCTCCTCATTTGCCAAGGTTTTGTTGTACTTTGTTCTTCTTATGAAACTTTTCATAATCTCCTTTGCTTTATAGGCGTTTATAAACTTGTCTTCTTGACTTTACAGTAACCTCCTTGGGCCACTGTGGCGCCTTGTTCCTTTTTGCGTTTATCCATTGCCATCTATGTCTACCTCAGATGGAATCAGGATGTAATCAATCTTTGTAGATGAGTTTAGTGAATTGCCGAATGACTGACAATGAATTACTGAGTTTAGATTGCATCCATTCAAGAGTTTTGAAGGAACCTAAGGATGAAATTGTAGAGCTCTTGGCTCAGCTGTGTTACTTTCTATAAATAGCCACTGTTTTAAAGGCTTGGTGGGTTGCCAGCATAAAGCATGATGCATTGGAAAGAAAAATGGCTTCGTGATCAGGAGACTGGGTTCTTGTTGAGCTCTTCTTAACTGGCTGGGTGATGCCACCAAGCTTCTGGATCTTAGGGTCCTTCTGCACCAGGGTTTTTTTTTTTTTT